CAGTAGAAAGTAAAAGCTCACTGAGAATGGAGTGGTGCAACTTGAGCCAAGCCTTGAAGGATAGGGAGAATTTGGGCAAGCCAGATAACAAATCAGACTTCCCAGATGGTGACATGATTTTTTTAGGTGGTCTTATGGGACATTCTCTGCCCATCTGAAGGTTAAAGAAGCATCTAACAATTCCTCATCATGCTGACATTTTCAAAGGCTAATGAGTTCTTATTTGAAAACATAGAGCCTTGGGAGCCCTAGACCCTTTTTTTAATTTTAGTCCACTTACAGCTTAAATCTGCTGTGGCTACCTGCTCTGCTCACAGACACTTCCCAAAGCTCTCAGTAGCCAGGGTCCCTAAGAAGTGGAGAGTTGCTTGAAGTGAGGAGCCCAAGGATCTTGAGGCTATATAAACAATGAAGTCACCCAGGAGAAAGGAAAAACACCCTGTGCCATGTGCCAAAGACTTTGTTAACAGTGCCCAGGTAGAAGGCAGTAGGTGATAGTGTCGGGCATGCAACTCAGTGCCAGGGCAATGTGGACCACCTTGGAGAATAGTGGCTCAGCTTGCAGGTTTAGGGGGAATCATGTGCAAATTAGGGTAATGGAAAGCAGCCACAGAAGTGATGGGGGGACTGTTCCAGCTCAGGGAAGCACACAAGTTCTCTGCCACAGTGGATTCCATTCCCAGCAGGTATGTGGTATCAGGAACCACCCAGGGACTACTTAAATTCAGTGGCACCCAAGGCAAAACGGGTGGAGAGGAGAACTAGATACCTCTTAGGCGATATCCATCTCATCTGCCTTCCACTGTATCAGGGAAGTAAATCCTGCATTCCACTTAGAACTCCAAAGAATGCAAATCCTAATAGGTTCAGGGCTTGGGAAGCTGGGGTGGGTGGAGGGTGGGCTTGCATGGGATGGAGGGATGGGAATGTGCAGGGATGTTGGCCCAGATGTGGCAGGCTCTGCAGGGGATGCTTCTAAAACTGCCTGTCTTGAGAATTTTCCCACAGCTGTCCTAGAGCTTTCTCCCTTCTTTCAGTTGAAGGTACTGGGATTTAGGTGTGTGGAATTTTCTTTTTTAAACTTTTGATCAACCATTTTCCTTGAACTACATGTGGAAATACTTAGAGCATGAATGCTGAGTAAATGTGAGCCCTGGCAGCCCCAGACATACTTCAGTGACAGGTTCTTGGCAGGAATGAAGAATTGTGAATCTCATGTGAATTTCCTTTAGCCTTTCTCTCCTTTCTTTTCTTCCCTTTTCTCCTTGCAAGGCAAATGCAAGTAAAATAAAAACTTTATTAGTAGCATTCTAGGGGCATAGAGGGTTCCAGCCAGTTCACTAGAAACAAAATCAGAACACTCAATTGGGGTCCCATTACTGCTTCCCTGATTCCCTCTGCCATGATCTGGGAGGGAATGAAAAGGCATTGCTTATGAGAATCCTTTGACTATGAGAGCCAACTTTAATCCCCCCTTCAGAACCCAGCAAAAACCCTGAAACACCCTCATGTGACTGTATACATAACCACTTTCTTTAGTTTCGCCATAGAGGTTAGCTTCCTTGGGTGGGGGAAGTTTGATATTCAGGGACATCTGAAGTGGTAAATTCCTGAGCTTTCTAATTAATAGAATTCTTACAATTTAAGGGACTTAGGCATCACCTATAACCTCTGCATTTTATAGCTGAGGAAACTGAGACCCAGAGAGGTCAAGCACCTTGCCCCATGTCACACCATATGTTAGAGGCAGAGATATGTCCAGGGCCCATTTCAGTCCTCCTGCATTAATTCTTCTTACACAGGACATCACTGCCTCTGCCAGGCCTACACTCTGGGTTACTAGTTCAGGTTTCAGCAGAAGTTTAAAAGCTTTTTTTTTTTTTTTTTTTTTTTGACTGTTTTATCTCAACATTTGCCAAATGATTTCTCGTACATGGCGTTCATCATCCACTTCTGGGAGCTCTCTAGGCTTCCTGGTTTTCCTCCCAGTTCTCTGAATGCTCCTACTCTACTCTCTTGGCTGCTCTGCTGTCAGAGTTGTCATACCCTTGTACAGGCTGTTGATTGCATGAGGAGGTGACGGGCTGAAATCCAAGCTGCGCTCTGCTAGCCAAGCCCCATACCCTGGTGGTGTGCTGCATCTCCCTGGAGAGGAAGGTGCCTTTTCTGATTTACACAGAGACCCCTTGTGGGCTGTTCTTCCTGCTCTCTGTGTTCCCCCTTTTCCTTCCACGCCCTAGCCGCCCTCAGCCTTCCATGACCACCCCTTCCTCCTGAGCTCATTTGTTCCTCTGCCTCCATTTCTCACCTTTACACAGATGGCGCCCAGATATGCATTTTTAGCCAATATTGGCAGCTGTCGGTGGGATGTTTCACTGTCCCTTGAGACACATGTCCATAATTGACTCATCATTGGCCACCCCACCCTCAAGGGACACTCTTCCCAGGCTTTATCTCTGACAGAGACACACCGCCAACCCTCCCGGCCCTTGAAGCCAAAGGTCTGGCAGCCCCCCAGACTGTCTCCTTCCTCTCTCTATTCAGCATGTTGCCAGACCTCGTTATTCTGTAGAGATTTCTCTTGGATCCCTTCCTTCTGTAACCATGCCATCCATCACTAGTGTAGATGCAACTGTCATCACCCAGGCCTTTTCCAACTGATTTCCTTCTGCCCCCAATTCCGCCTTACCCATTTCTTGCCATGTGCCACTGTTCAAGTGTTCTTCTTAACACTCTCCTGCTCAAAAACCTATAGATTTTCCATCCAGATCCTACCTTTCTTAAAGAGCTCGGCTCAAGTCCCATTTCTTCTATGAAGTCCCATCTCCTGGAGTTGGCCCCATTACTTCAGACTGCATTGGCCTGTATTCTTGTTTCATCAGCCCAACTAGGTTAGACACTCCTGTGGTAGGGGCAGCCACATCCTCTGCTCCTTTTTGGGTTTTTTTGTTGTTGTTATTTTTAGAGACAGGGTCTCACTCTGTCACCCAGGCTGGAGTGGAGTGACATGATCCTAGCTCACTGCAGCCTCAAACTCGTGGACTGAAGCAATCTTCCCATCTCAGCCTCCTGAGTAGCTGGGACTATACGCACATGCCACCACACCCAACTAATCTTATTTTTTGTAGTGACAGGGTTTTGCCATGTTGCCCAAGCTCGTCTGGAACTCCTGAGCTCAAGTAATCCTCCCAAAGTGCTGGAATGACAGGCATGAGCCACTGCACCCGGGCCTCCCTTTTGGGTTTATGCCACAGAGCTTGCGCCATGCTTATCACAGACCATTCTCTTTTATGTTTTGCCGTTACAGGCATTCATCAAATACGCATTTTGATGGGTTTAAGTCATTTTCCTTGGCTGTTACTGAAGAAGACTGGAGGATTTATACTCTCTATATTGGCCGTCAAAGTGGACAAGTCTTAGGTAGACAATTGGAGAGGAGAAAATAAGAACCATACTCAAACCTAACAAGCTAATTCAGGACAGATAAATGGTCTGTATTAGAAACTTCCACTTGGGCTTTCCTAAGAAACTGAAGGGTGAAATTGTGAAACCAGTGGCAGCCTTACAAAAACACTCTTTAGGAAGAGTGACGAGATATCTTGGGAACTCCCAGGAATCACTCTGAGGAGTGTTGCTTTCGTAATGGGGAGCCCGAAAGACCCCGTCAGTAGCGGTGGAGTCACTGAGTGTTCCTGTGTTGAGAAGGCGGTGTGGTATGTCACAGGGGAGACTCTCCAACTCGTCACTGTGGACGTGAGAACAGAAGCACCTCTCTCAGGTACCAGAGTTGGAGCCACCTGGGTCTGACTCTTTCCGCAGTCATGGCCCAGCTCGTGAAGTCACAGTCTCCTCAGTGCAAACAGGGATGAATCCCCGAGCCTCATAGATCTTTGTGAGATGATTTTCAGTCCTATATAAACAGGCCTAACATGTTTCTAACTCTGTAAGTGCTTACTATACTGCTATACTTCTGCTATGACTAGAAAAGACCATTGCAGAACACAGGAACTGATCATTCTTTAGAAACCAAGCATCTAGTGTGCTATGTTATGTCTGGGCCACTTCAAGAAAGCCCTAAGGATAGGCAGCAGGAGGCATTCCAGAGATGACATGTGAGGAGCAGCGAAGGGGAGAGGCTTCCTTGTGAAGGTGGCCTGAGCCAACCTAGATACTTCAGTCTGAAAACACAAATACTTAGAGAATGTGACAGAATCTGTAAAATAATAAAGAAAATGGTTGAGGTAAACAGCACTGTCCCATTTGAAATCTGAATGTAGTAATTTCCAGGCACACAATATGCAATGAGTAGTAAAAGGAACGTGTTATATCCCATAAGCTGTGATAGAGGCTAATCATAGAAATTAATCAAAGGGTAATTAAATAATTCTTGATTGACGGGGCACAGTGACTCAGGCTTGTAATCCCAGCACTTTGGAAGGCCGAGGCAGGTGGATCACTTGCAATCAGGAGTTCGAGACCAGCCTGGCCAACATGGTGAAACCCCATCTCTACTAAACATACAAAAATTGGCCAGGCATGGGGGTGTGCGCCTGTAATTCCAGCTACTCGGGAGGCTGAGGCAGGAGAATCGCTTGAACCCGGGAGGCGGAGGTTGCAGTGAGCTGAGATCGCACCACTGCACTCCAGCCTTGGCACCAGAGTGAGACTCCATCTCAAAAAAAAAAAAAGGCCGGGCGCAGTGGTTCATGCCTGTAATCCCAGCACTTTGGGAGGCCGAGGCGGGTGGATCACGAGGTCAGGAGATCGAGACCATCTTGGCTAACACAGTGAAACCCCATCTCTACTAAAAATACAAAAATTGGCAGGGCGTGGTGGCGGGTGCCTATAGTCCCAGCTACTCAGGGAGGCTGAGGCAGGAGAATGGTGTGAACCCGGGAGGCGGAGCTTACAGTGAGCCAAGATTGCGCCACTGCACTCTAGCCTGGGCGACAGAGCCAGACTCCATCTCAAAAAAAAAAAAAAAGTTCTTGACTGACAGCTTCATAGTAGATTTTTTAAAATCTTAAAGCTAATCTTCATTGGGCAATACATCTCTTATTTGGATGTCATGGAGTCCAGCCGTACTGACCCAAAAATATCCTAAGTGCCACTGTTGGCTGCTGCACTAACCTGAAGAGACTGCAAATGACATTTTAAAATAATTTTTCTTTATTTTTAAGCAGCTTTATTGAGATATCACTGACATATAAAAATTGCATATATTTAAGGTGTACAAATGTTTTAATGTTTTAATATTCGTATACATGGTGAAATGTTCACCATAATCTAATTAACATATTCACTACCTCTACATAGTTACCATTTTGTGTGTGTGCATGTTGAGAAGATTTAATTTATGATCTATCCTCTTATCAAATTAAAAGTATACAAACAGTATTATTAACTACCATTGCCATGCTGTACATTACATCTCCAAAAATTACTCATCTTGCATAACTGAAACTTTGTACCCCCAAATGACATTTAATATACAAACCATTTGTTGAGCATTTTCTCAGGCAGGACACTGGTGGGTCCGTGGGAAGCTGAAGTGTGCAAGGCTCTTACAGTCTACTTGAGATAAGCCATATGTGCATCAAATATTGACTAGGACTGTCTCTAATAGACTAAGGACCTAAAAGCCATTATTGGAAAGATCTTGTTTATGAAGAAATAATAGGGCAAATGGAGACTTGGATTACCATGAAGCTAATTAAGCTTTGATTTCAGACCTTTTATTTGCAAGGGCCTTGCCAGGCCATGTACCCAATTTGCATTTATAATTGCATATTCTTTTTCTTATAGAGCCCTCCCAAAACCATTTAAGCTTCAGGCCCCACAAAACCTGGGTCTGGCCCTGGTGCGTTAACCTTGAGATGGGGGACTGATTGTGAACACATATAAGGAAGGGACACTTATAGCAGGGACTGCACACATGCAGTGCCCCCTCCCACACACATCAGAACCACTGCTAGAAATCACCAGTCCCTCTTGTCTGTCCATAGCATATGCAGGATGTACCAACACATTACTTTCCAGAAAAAATAATCAGAGAGACTTGAGCAAGGTCATGAGATACTCCAGCAAGATTTCAAGGTCCTGAAGCAATTTCGCTCTTTCCCTCTGCTTTTCTCAGGCCTGTGCTACTGGGTTCCAGAAGAGCTGCCTGGGAGCAACCAGCATCTCACCCCATATGCCCCACTGCAGACCTCCCCCTGCTCTTCCCAGTTCTGCGAATTCCTTTGTCCCCAGCTCCATGGTACTCTGTGTATATCTGAGGGGCCCTGATGTTCCTGTGAAGTTTCCATGACTAATTCTGGCAAAGCAAAGAGAGCTTTTCTCACGTCAACAAAGCCACTCTGTCACAGAATAGTGGCAAGTGGAGCCAAAATTCCACCTTGGCATAAGTAGAGCTGTTCTTTTTTAAAAGAGTTGGAAAGAGGAAAAGTATGGAGGGGACAGAGCCGACCCACTTCAGGTTAGTGAAATGATGGTATATTAAGCTGACAGTTTTATGGCTTTGCTTATAAGCTTCCTCCCCTGCCAAAGCACACTGTTCTTCCAGAAATTGTTTTACTTCAGAAGACTTCTTTTTAAACATTCAATGTGTGTTTTATGTTCAGACTTAATTCTGGTTGGCCCAGAGACTCAGATACACGATCACCTCTACTGGTGGTTTTGTAAATAACTTCTTTCTCCATTTGCTTGCAAAGGATCTTTTTTGATTGCAAAAATAATTCCATTTTTTAAGACCTTGGATTCAAGACAACACCTTTCCTAGCTTTGATTTGTAAAGAGGTAGAGTGGTTTAGTGGAAAGAGGCTTGGATTAAAGTCTGGAGACCTAGGGCCAGGCCCCAGCTCTACAACTGTGAGATCTTGGACCAGTCACATGTAGCTGTGAGCCTCAGTTTTATTTTCACCATAGGATCTTAAATCTGGAAGGGCCTCACAGGTAACCCCTGCCTGCCTATCTGTAAAAATTACAGATTAACCAAAATTGCTGTGCAAGTATGAAGTATCATTATTGCCATTTCAATGGTTGCTCAGATACTTTCTACCTAGTAAAAAGTCGGGAATGTTCCCAGTCTGTGTTCTACCAAAGGGAGTTTGCAATGTGAAAATTAATGAGACCAAATCGCCAGAGCTTGGCTTGCAACACATGAAATGAAAACAACATGGAGACTAGTCAGGAAGACGATGCAGAAGGATAAAGCTAGAAATCTGATGTTTCTCCATTGCAGGCAGATATTTTGTTGATTTTTATCAATATGTCTGAGTGTCCACACTTCCAGAACACACCCTCTACCCCCACTCAAATCAATTACATTCTCACAGGTACATCTAGACTTGTAGGTTAATACTTTTGTAATATTGGACCTGCCCACAACCTCATACTCCTAGAGAACATCCATGTGCCAATGTGGTCATCTGTGCATACACGAAATCCTCATACTGATTTGGGACATCATTCCTAAAATCATTACAGTGGTAGAGCAAACAGTTCTATTTACAAGAACTGCATTGTACCTTGTGACCTCACCCTGTGTCAGCCCTTGGAACTGTCCCCCCTCCCCAAAGCTCACTGCCTTGATTGTACCCCAAGAGGGAACCTTGAGGCTCTGGAATCCGGCTGGCCTTTGTTCTGTTCCTGACTCAGCTCTCACTAGTTATGTGGCCTCCATGCATCACAGAGCTTTTCTGACTCTCCAATGCCTCTGCATCTGTTACATGGGACTAAAAATACAGAGACCTGCACAGAGGTTGTGAGGACAGAGATATCTGCAGAGCCTCACTCAGCTGAAGGTCCTAAAATTAACACTGGCCTTCGGTCCTAGGCCCTTGTCATCCCCGACTAGATTTACAGTCTTAAACCTGGCCGGTTTTCCTGCTTGCAGCCTCTCTCCATCCAGGCTGCCCCGCACTTTGAATCAGAATTTCAGAAAGGACCCGACACAAATTAACATTCCAAATCACCATATCCATCATGTTACCTACCCAATCCCAAACCTTCCAAGGTTCTCACTGCTCATAGTTGCTGTGGAGAGCCCCCCGGGTCAGCCATCGAGCACCACCCCTTTCCCCACCATCACCTGCCACCCTGTTCATCTCCCTATTCCTCACCACAGCCCTCCCCACCAGGCAGCTATTACTCCAACCCATGAGAATGTTCAACCCCTCTCAAGGTGTTCTTTTCCCCCGCTCCGAATCAGTCTCTCAGCAGATGGGTAAGACCACCCACCACCCTAAGCAACTTTGTAGGCACCTCAGGGATGCACCTGACACTCCCACTCCCAGAGAAGATGAGGCTTGGAGAAGGGTTTTCAATGGCACAAAAGCTATCTCTCTGGAGAAAATTTTCTTCATTGTTCATTTCTGCATTAAAGCATGCCTGTGAATGGGGATCACTGGGGAGGGCTATGAGGCTGCCGGTGAGACCTCTCCCACGTTGGTAGATCACCCTACCCGTATTTGTGGGGCAGCCACCCTATTCTTCTACCTCCTGCACCACTTCTGGCTCCAAGGACAGAGCTGGGTGGAGCTGCAGGAGCCAACACTGCGCTTCTGCATTGCGGCACTGGGCTGTGCAAGACAAAGAGAGAGATTGCCACCTATTGACAGACGTATCACCTGCAAAGAGGCATGATTGTGTAACTAGTGGCTCCCCTCTTGCCTGTGTGCTCTTCAAACGGGCCTTTTGTTTTTTCTCTTCAGTCAGTCCTTCTGTTCTTTATTACCACTGCAGTGCAAGGGAGGACAGGGAAAAACGGGACATGACAGCCCAAGGTGGTAGTGACAGCATCTCAGTGGGAAAGTTGTCTGAAAATAAATTGCCCATTGTAGTAATAGCCACTTTCAGTTGTGTGGCAGGCACTGTGCTGCCTGCAGTACATCCCATTTAATCCTCACAACGACCCTCTAAGAATCAGTACTCCCAGTTTTCACTTGAGGAAGCTGAGGTTTAAAGAGAGCACCTGGCCCACGACCAGCAAGTAAGGAATAGAGGTGGGATGTGGGTAATTTAAATCTAAATCTCTGACGCACTCTTAACGCACATTCTCCCAACACTTGCTAATTATGCAACTCACACCCCCGTCATAATTTCCTTATGTCATCTGGATATGAAAATAAATCAAATATAAACTACTTTCCCTTAGATTGGGCAGAATTCTAGCTCTGCCACTTTCTAGTTATTTAAGGCTCAGCCCTCTCACCTGTGAAATGGGGCTAGTGATGTCTAACTTAGCGAGTTATTGAGGAGCTTAAATCACATATAAAAATAACTTAGTAGGATGCCGGGTATTTATAAATGGGAGTTTAGTTATCAGTGGTTGAAGATATGAGTTGGAATCCTAGCTCCTCTCATTTCTAGCTTTGGAACCTTGGGCAAGTTATCCGACCTTTCTGGTCTTCAATTTCCTCATCTATGGAATAGGGTTAATAATAATATACCTGTTCTTGCAGGGTTTCCCTGTAAGATGAAATCATGTGTATGAAAACATTTTGTAAATCTTAATTGTACTCTTCAAATATTAGTTGTTATAACTCAAAAGTTATGTTTCTTCAAATGGATTGTTGAGAACTATTCCTGAAAAATGACTTGATTGAATTCAATCTATTTTTGATACTTACTAAAAACACCAATATAAGTTAAAAGGAGGTTCCATACATGCCACAGGCTTTTCTGCAACAGCTCTATAAGGCATTCCCATGAATAACAGGTTTCATAGGCAGCTTGATTTACAGTTGGTACTTCCAAATGTATCTCACTGAATGTCCACAGGGCAGGGCTGGCATTTACCCCTACTTTATAGATGACGACATGTGAGGCTTAAAGAATGAAAATTACTAGTTAAGGACAGAGACTAGTGAGTGGAGGTTTGTGGGTGTTTGCCTGTGGAGCTGTGTGCGGGTGTATTTGAGTGCAGGCATGTGTCTGAGCATGCTTTTTTATGCATTTGTGTGTCCATAACTCATGGGACACACCCACAGGGGGGGTGCATATTTGTCTGTATCCCTTGGCTAGAGTGTCGTTTTTGGGGAGAGGAGAAGGTAAACATATCTGAGGTTTTTTACAACTCGTCAGCAAAAACCTTTTCCTCTTCCTTTTTCGTGTTGCCTTACATTCTCAGGCAGTTTCCACAAGATGGCCCTGCCCGGAGAATATCCTTGATTTTTATCTCCACTCTCTGTTTAGGAAAACAACAGCTCTCCAATCCCCGCAGACTTCTGGGAATTACTTCCTCTTTCTTCCCCGCCTGCTAGCTTTCTTGAATTCGCCTTAGCAACATTCAAAAAAGAATTGGTTTATCCACAGCATGTGAACCAATGAAATGTGAGCATGAGAACGGCTTCTAGACCAATGGGAGCCCCGCATGACCCACAAGCAGGCTTGGGACAGAAAATAATAACCTGGAGTTTGCAGAGCAGCCTCTGGGTGGCAGCAGACTAGCTGTATTGGATACAGCACCTCAGCTCGAAAGCCTGTACTTTCTTTTTGCCTTTTTTGCCCTAATCTTGGATATAAAACATTCACCAACTATAAGAATTGTACTGTTACAAGACTTGTGGGTGTGAGTTCTCTGCATAATGTAGTAGACATGGCCTGGAGGGTGGACTGTTGGGTTCCATCCCTGCCTCACCACAGCCAGCCCGATGACCCCATTGTGCCTCCTGCAGTCTTTGTTGGTTTTGTCACAGCCAATGCTAGCCCAGTAGCCTTGGGCCTGGAGGTCTTTCATGATTTTGCCTGCCCAGCCAGTCAGGATGAGAAGCTGGGGAAATCACATTCTCCTTCATGTAACCACCACTACCCCTGGGTTGAGTGGTGAATGAGGTGGGGCTGGCTTTCTGCCACCAGTGAATGGGAGGGAAGGGATGAGCCACCAACAGATCAGTGCCTGTCAATACCCCCACATTCTCAGGTGCATACACCGAGACCATTCCCTACCTTGTCACTTCTGCTGCACATGTCTGAACAGGGAAATGCCTGACTAGCAAATGATTTGAGAATAGTTCTGCTATCAGGCAGTTTAGCCCTCTTAATCTTGAAGCCAGTGGCAGACATGGGCAGAGGCTAAATGGGACCATAGCAAATATAGCAAATCCACGTTTCCACTGGTTTAGCCATCCTTCTTTTTGCCCTTTGAGATGATAATGCCTTGAACACCATTCAGTCAGGTTTGGGTCCTTCAGATAGTCATAGTTCTCCACAATGTTTCCATTTCTGCCTGACTTACTCCTCTCATCCTTTAAGAATCAGTTAAGGCCTAGTATCTTCAGAAAGTATCCTCTGAAAAATTCTCCCCCTCCCCCTCCCCCTCCCTTCCAGCTCCCTGGTGATCCTGTTCTTGCACTTCCTGTGTTGTTTTCCAAATGTCTCTTTCTTTGTGAGTTTCCTCTGAGAGTCATGGAGCTTCCTGAGGACAGGGTCTGTCCTTTGTATCTCCATCCCTTAGTGTAGTGTTGGCATAAGATAGGTGCTTAATAAGCATTTTTATGAGAAAGGAAGCATGCAAGAAAGGAACTCTTGCTCTTTGAGAAACATATTAGGGACTCAGAAGTACCTGAACCTGGGCTGAAGCAGTGTCTGGGAGTAGGGCACTCGCTGTTGGAGGCAACGTCTAGCTGTTTAAGACCCAACATCTAGCTGTTTAAGACCATGAGCCATGATTCCAGAGCAAAGCCCAAGCCTGAAAGATAATCTCATTATGGGCTTATCCCTTAGTGGGTTCATCTCAGTCACATGGTTTCCTTTATGATTGTGTGTTTTAGGAAGAGCTAAGGAGCAAATCCAAGATCTGTGCCAATGTGTTTTGTGGAGCTGGCCGGGAATGTGCAGTCACAGAGAAAGGGGAACCCACCTGTCTCTGCATTGAGGTAAGTCCTAATGTCAGGAGCCAGAGGACAGTGGCCAAGGCCAGTGTGGCTACCTTGCGGAGCCACCCATTAGCAGGCAGTGCCAATGATTTCAGTCTCTTTATAAAAGCATACCTCATGCCTCTGAGAAACATGGAATTTTTATTCCAGGTTCCTGATTTTTAATGCATGGATATTTTTTCTTTTTTTTTAATTTAGCTTTATAAGATTTTTTTAATTAAAAAATAAGAATTGTTTTATATAAGTCAAATAGTACAGACATTTACACAGATGTAAAATTATAATCTTCTCCCATAACCCTTCAATCCCTTAGTCTGAAGTAACCAGTGTTAACAATTTGGTACATGTTGTTCCACATGTTTTTCTTTTCTATGTTACTATAAGCATTAGGGTTTATATAGTACTGTAGACATAATGGTTCCCCCTATTTTATGCAAAAATGGGATCATGATACAGATATAGATATATACAGTTTATATTCTTTACTCATTATCAGGGATAACACTCTAGATCAGCACATGTAGTTTTAACTCATTTAACTCATTGTAGTGGCATAATAGTAATACAAAAGAACTGGATTTATTCTATCATTTTCCCATAAATGGACATTCAGTTGGTTCTATGGGTTGTTTACCACTATAACCAATAACATCCTTGTGCAAATACCCTTACATGCTACTGCCTTTATTTCTGTAGCATTGATTGACACCAGAGCTTGCTAGGTCAGAGGATACGCAAATTTTTAAAAACAGTAGATGAGATGCAGGTTTTTTTTGATGTTTAAAAACCAGAGAGAGCCTTTGATAAATACTTCTTCTGTAGGCTAGATTCTGACAAGTTCTGCCACCAAAATGAACATAAATACCCTGGACATTCTCTTTTCTGTCAAACCAACTCATAGCCTGGAAACACGTCTGTCTGCAAATTAAATACAACCAATTTAGTCCCCAGGTTAAGGATCCTGATTTGTTGCCCCAGAAAGGAAGTTTTCTAACTCAGAAACCTAAAAGCCAGATCCTGCTGGGGATCCGTTAGCTCTGGGAGGTTCTCACTGGCAGTGTACCTGGCCACAGTGTGGTGGCATAAGCCTGGCCTTATGATCTGGAAACCTTATCCTAAAAATTGTACAACTAGATGTGGGTGAGCTGGGACCAAACCTAAGGTTTCAGGAGATGCTGTGAAGACAGAGACCACGTTTGGTTTTGTCCATTTCCCAGCACATAGTGAGCACTCCATAATAAATACTGGTTCACTGAAATTTGTATTTTTGGTATTCTCAACTAAAACCGGAGAGGTTGGGCTGCCATCCACTTCCAGTGCTCTGTGCTTCTTTTTACCATCTGCTCTTTCTTGTTTCACTTCCTTTCTTTATTGGATCTGAGCTAAACTTGCTTCCTACTTCTCCCCCTTAAAAACCGTAGAAGTCCAAAGAAACTGAGTTTGCCTGTGATCTTGGTACCTTCAGCAGCCAAAGCATAAGCTAGTTTCCAAATGAACTTTGTTCCATTTCCCTATCCATAATGATTCTCTGTAGTACTTCACAAAGACCCAGACAACCTTACTCCTAGCTTCACAATAAAGGCTTGAGATTAGGAGGAAAACAAAGTGGCCCCCCAAATAGTATATAAAGCAAGAGATCCTTATAGTTAGGCTGTGGAAGAATTGGAGTGTGTGTGTGTTTGCCTGCCTGCCTATCAGTCTCTCCACATTCCCAGCTCTCAGCTCTGGCTGTTTTATGTCATTGAATGTTGGAATATTAAGGGATCTCAGATCTTCTGAGACATTAAATGACTTTTTCCAAAGTGACAGAGAATTCAAATTTCTGATTTTTAATAGAACGCCTTTTCTGCTAATTTGATGTGATGAGGCAGTTGTCTTTGTTTCGGTGGCTATAATAAAATATCTGAGATTGGGTAAATAATAAATAAAAAGAATTTAATTCTCACAGTTCTAGAGGCTGAGAAGTCCAAGATTGAGGCGCAGGCAGATTTGATGTCTGGTGAGGGCCTGGTCTCTAACTTCCAAGATGGCACCTTGAATGTGGCATCCTTACATGGCAGAAGGCAGAAGGACCAAAGGGCCAAATGCTGTAGGAAGACTGATATATTCACTTCTTAACCTCATCCACAAGGGAGGAGTCCTCATGACCTAATCACCCCCTAAAGGCCTCACCTCTTAATAGTTTTGCATTGTGGATTAAGTAGCAGCATGAATTTTGGAGGGATCACAAACATTCAAACCATAGAGGGTGTCTCTTTCTTCACTGAATAGAAGAGATGACCCTGGACCAGGATAGGCACTAAGGGCCATAGGCAACTGAGACAGGGTCAGTTGGCCAGAACTGTCACTGCCTGTGCCCTGGTAGGATAGAAGCACCATCTCTGGTGGTGGAGAGTCCCCTTACAAAATGGCTCTGTGTGTGTGTGTCTGTGTGTCGATATCCATAACTGCACAAACATTCTCTCTTGGGTCTGTTTCAGCAATGCAAACCTCACAAGAGGCCTGTATGTGGCAGTAACGGCAAGACCTACCTCAACCACTGTGAACTGCATCGAGATGCCTGCCTCACTGGATCCAAAATCCAGGTTGATTACGATGGACACTGCAAAGGTAAGGTGTGGTCTCACCACTGCAAGGCAGCTTCAGCCATGGGAGCTGAGGAACAGAGCAGTGTGGCCTGGCTGACCACATGGTCTTTCTACCGTGACCACAGCCTCTCAGAGCTGTGGAAAGCACCCAGTTGGTTGGAGTTGCATCCTCTTGTCACTCATGAGCCTGCTGGGGTTTTCAGCACTGTCTACAGCTGGATAGTAAATACGGTGGACTCCATCAGTAATCAGTAACAATAATGAAGTTCCTTAAATGAATTATGTACCTTTTTAGAAAGCACGTAAGTTTCACTTTCCTCATGCTTTTTAATTTGGGCACCTCTCAGTATTATTTCCTCTATTTTGCGCTGAAACCATTGCCATTAGAATAAGAAGGAAGTCCCACACTTGTTGCTAATTAGATACCAGCCCCCTGCCAAGCCATAGCCCTGCCCAGCCGCTCTCAGCCTTGCCCTTCCTTGAAGAAACAAGAAGCTGTTTCCCAGGCGATTGTCTCCACTCCATTCCCTATCCAGAATGATTCTCCATTTGAATTCTCAAAATCCCAGTGACCCCTCAATGCAACAGGAGGAGGTGTGAGACCAGAAGGGTAACTCAGTGGCCCTAAATTGTCAGACAAAGCAGGAAACAGAAGATCCTCATACCTGGGCCCTAGAAGAAGGAAAGGATTCAATACAAGATGATGAAAAGGTTACAAATAGTCCCCTACATGTGGAGCAGCTGTAATCCTAGAAATACAGAAAAATTTTCTTTTTTTCTTCACTTTGCATTACACATTTTCTTTTTTTGTCTTGCAGAGAAGAAATCCGTAAGTCCATCTGCCAGCCCAGGTGAGTGCCTATTTTTTCTACTGTGTGCATCTCGGGGAGGACATTCTTTTCATGATAGAAATACTGTGTTCCACAATCCCTGCCAAGCTCATAAGATCTTCTGTGCATCAGAATTGTGTCCCAGAACTGGCCACTCCTCAACACAGCTCAGAAAAGCTGCAAAACTACATTTGTGTGTGTGTGTGTGTGTGTGTTTGCCAATTGAAGCAGCTGGTTGGGTCAGAATGTTGACTGTGTTTTCCCATTTTTCCTGAGTAGTGATTGAACTGCATGAACAGGACAGCCACTGAGTTCGTTTTTCAACATCCTGTAAGACATGTTCATGTTATGGGACTAGCAAATAGAAGGCACAACTCTTTTTGAAAGGGGATAGATAACTGGAAGGTGCCTGTAAGACTTCTGTGGTTTTCTATTAGTGATCACTAAAATTTTATCATGATTTATAGTTACAGAACTTTTTTGCGCATACTTTCCTTAGATTCTCATAGTAGCCTTTGTGAAGTAGATTGTACTGTAATTACTATATAGATGAGGAAATTGAGGCTCGAAGAGGCTAAGTGAGTTTTCTGTATCACACAGCTGGTAATTGGCAGACTAGGGAAGGACTCCCAGATTTTCATTCCCCTGGCCCAGTGCCCTTTTCACCCGCAACATGTGTTGTCTTCCAGGAATTCTCTTTTGCCAAAGCTTTTTCTCCTCTGCTTCCCCATCCACTCAACTCTCAGCACCCCCTGTTATTTCCAGTGGAAAACAGCTGTCCAGAGCATGGCTTCGACATGGCCCTCGCTGGGCTTCACATTCTCTTGTTCATAATAAAGGACGATGTAGGTGGTATACAGTTGTAAGTGGGGGAAAGTTTGGATGGACCTAGTTGGTGAGAAAGGGAGAAACTGGAGAAAATCAGAAATCTAGTGGCATAAAAAACTGTAATATTCTCATTTATTCATGTATTTCAGCTCATCTTTGAGTCAAGAGAGCTGCTTTATTGATTTTTTTCCCCTTCAGCTTCCTAAAGTTAATGAAAGTATCCTTTATTTTTTTGCTCTAGTTATTTCTCACATAAGCAGCAAAATCTCTCTGTTTCAATATTCTCAATCTTTACAAATATTTTAGAGATGGGAGCTTGAATCCTGGGCTAGACTTTTTCCAGTTGTGTACCCTGGATGTGCTAATCCTGTCTCCGTGGGCACCGATCCTCCCACACAATGGGTACCAGATATCATTGGGGTCCTCCCCTGACTGCTCCAGCTGACATCCTCCACTTTCCTGCAGTTGTTTGCTATCAGTCCAACCGTGATGAGCTCCGACGTCGCATCATCCAGTGGCTGGAAGCTGAGATCATTCCAGATGGCTGGTTCTCTAAAGGCAGCAACTACAGTGAAATCCTAGACAAGTATTTTAAGGTAATCCAGAGGTAGGAGGAAGACTATTCAGGCCCATAGAAAGGGAAGCTTCCTTCTCCCATTGCCTGATCACATCTTCCCATACCACAGGAAATGTAAACCTGTATAGACTCCCTGAGTTTCCTCATCATAGATCATTGATGAAGCCATGAAAGTTGCCTTCTCACCAGCTTTATTAGTGGGAGTAAGCAGTGGAGTCTTTGGGATCTAACACACATGTGCTGCTGCCTTTAGGCAGTTAAAGCCACAAAGGTCTTGGAGAACCTGTCAGTTAGGGCCAAGCTCTGTCCCCTACTCCCCATGACACCTTATGGAGCTGGCTGTTAATACAAAATACCCTCTGATTGCACCCAGACCGGGACCACTTCAGCCTCTTTCCTGCCTAGTTTGACATTTCTCTAAGTCATTAACTTGACTGCCCATGGCCTGGAGAGATTCTTCATCTGAGAAGAATCAATGGACTGGCATTTCATGGGTCCAGAGATTCTTCCTGAACTTAAAGATATTGCTGTTCCCTATCATAATTAGTTGAAGAGACAGAGTGTTCCACTTGGGAGCAGGAGAGATGCTATTTTCACAAAGAGAAATTAAGGAGGTTATAATATTTAGTGATGGCTCGGGCTATCATGGCATGCAGATCTTTCACAGAACTTGAGAGTTAGAAGCAGCAATTAAGGGCATTCTTACAGCTGATTGACAAGAACACAGACACACACAGGCGCATCACACTCAGAAGCACAAAGACACACTCAATCTCAAACATGCAGACACGCACACGCACACACCACATACAGAGACTCACATGCCACACGGAGACACATCCTACACGCAGACATATTCAGATACCCACATTTCCATGCAAGCACCAAAGCCCTCTTCACTTATAGACATCTAGGTAGATGCCCCAGCCATCTACTCCCTCACATACCTCCAGGGCCCAACCCAGTTGGGACTTGGGAGCAACTTCAGACACATGAGGGACTTTTTGGCTGCTCTGAGGCCACCTAATGTGGCCAATGCCAGTCTAGTCTGTGGATTTCTCTTTCTGACACTATAGAACCTACAGATGAAGAAGTACTGTGTTGGCTTCAAATGGATATTTGGTTAAGACTTCACTTGTGTTACTATTTTTATATAGAGATTTCTCTCCTCTATGGCAGATTTTAAGTCTCTGGATTTCAAGTTTTTGAGATCATACCCAGATGAAAAAGCACAGCCTTTCTTGCTCTGTCCTCTGTCTTAACCACTCCCACATTACGGAGCCCTTAGGGCAAGAATGGTTCCTCTTCTACAGAAAAACACATCATAGTGCTGAGCCAGGAGAGTTGGACAGGAACAAAAAGTAATGTAAAGAAAGTGACTGTTCAAAAGCTGAGTGAATGGCAAAGGTACCTGCAGGGCCTGCTGTGAGCAGTGACTTTGCCCTACAATTACAGCATAGGAGGTATGGGACCCAGGACACTCCTTTCCAAGGGCCACTTGGGACCTTGTAAGCATTTTTTAGTGGCCCTTCGATGGCACTCCGCCTCGGGCATCACTGACACCTGCTATTAGATTTGATTCCCAAGAACCTAGACCACATTCCCCTCAACACATCTCCATCTCCTCCAGCAGCAACTCACTTTTACAGGCTCCCTTCTGAAAGCTGTAAGGCCCTTTGAGAAAGTAGCTCTTCTCTAGGGCATTCTCACACCCGAGCATCTAAGAAAGCTTGATCATGACTGACAGACATAAAATCCCCTCTTCCCAGACACTCTGGCAGTGTCTTCCAGGAGAAAACAGGTTTCATTTTCTACTTTTTGACAATTATCAGAGTCTTATGTGCTGCTGTCTTCAAAGGAAGACTGCCTCCTCCTAGGTCAGCAGCTGCCTGTTGGTGAGAGGTCTTACAGGCACAGAGAGATACTAGGTCTTTGTAACTGACTGACTGAAGAGAGGCTGAATGAATTAGGTTGGTTCATGGTCCATGATTAGGAGGACCTCACAGGCAGACCCCCCAGGAATTCCAGGCTGTTTCTGGGGCAGGCACCAGAATTCTGTGTTCTGTGGATTCTATATACAGCTCTGGTCTGGGGAGTTGAGCCCTGGGCCCTCCTGAGTTGAGAAAGCACATGGGCTGGACCTTCCCCCAGCTGCAGGCCTGATTCTAGTCCTACTGAAGTGTGTGTACACAGCACTGCCTTTTGAGAGCTGGACTGTGGTTGCCAGGTTCATGGTGCCCACTTGGGCCATGTGGCACTGGGTCTGCAGCTAGTGCTGGATGGTTCCCCTCCCTACACTCATTCCATCATCAGGCCCTGACGACACTGGGGTCTTTGAGGGTTGCTCCCATTTGCCCAGTACATGCAGCATTTGAACTCAAGAAAGTCCTGTGCTACTAACAGTGGCCCCCAGCCAAACTTACTTAATTATTTTCGATTACTTAATCAAGACCTCACAAGGTAAACACTTAGGGAAGTTTCTCAGGGAAAATCGTATAGTGAATAAAGGACATCAGAGACCTGTTCTTGGGAATTAGGACAAGAATAGTAAGTACGTACTAAGCATAGGCCTAATAGTTGTTTCATGCACACCTTCATTATACAACATTAGAGTGGAACACCTGTGATGCGTGGCAGTCAGGAGAGAGTTGCTAGCTACATCTTGCCTTTCTATCTAGAAATTTGGACAGATGTTTCTTCCAGAATCCCTTGCACCATCTGGGGAGCCAACTTGAAAGTAATATGGGGAAGCTAATCCTTTCCCAGGGCAGCAGCATGAGGCAGCCTAGGGAAAGGATTTGGGAGGGAAGGGGAAAATGCTATCGAAACTTGTTAGGAGAGCAGCAGTATGCAACTTGGAATTTGATCAGTCTTGATTTTGACACCCTCCTGCAGCTAGTGCCTAGGTATCTTGAATGGTCCCAGATGGCTGAGGTCTCAGTTTAGCATCTTGCCATAGAGAACAATGTGTGAGCTCACTGCACCCCTCACTTTGTGCTCGTGGGATGCCAGCTGGGTCATGAGGACAGCCTGAGCTGGGTGATCTGAGGACCTGTGCACACATCTGCAGTGGGGCCCACAGGGCAGAGGAGCAGGAACTTTGCATGATGACCCCTGTCTGTAGCTTATTGCTTTGAGGGCTTTGCCTGAGTTCTCACTGATGTGATCAGTTACGGGCACCAAGGTGAAAGTTAAGCACCGAGAACAGGACAAGGAGGCTGGAATCAAGCAACAAGAAATGATCTTATAAGTCCGAAGTGAGCTCAGAGGGTTATCTGCATTGCTGTTCCTGACCAGTTCATTAGAAACATGTTCTGGGACCTGCTACAACTGATTCACAGCTTGCAACTTTAAACTCTTGTTACATGTTCGTCAGGGTTTGAGAACATGATGTGGAGGTTGGTCTGTACCCAAAGGTACAGTCAAAAGTGTCTACAGGGCAGTGTCAGAGATAGGGCCACACAGTGTGCTTAGGGACCCCAGGGGCCTCTGTTCAGGTTGCCTCCTCTCCCCAGGCACTTCTCCTCTTTCATCTTGGGCACAGGTACCTTCTCTGCATGTCCCACGGATTAGAGCATTTGTTGCCATGACCCTCTGAGGCCAGGGCAGGGTTGGAATGTATTAAGAATAAGATGAATCAGAGGCGGGTCAGCTGAGTGGAGCAATGATGGAACAGGGGTTCTGCAAAACATTACTGAATGATCTCGTCATGCCCTTTCTAGAACTTTGATAATGGTGACTCTCGCCTGGACTCCAGCGAATTCCTGAAGTTTGTGGAACAGAATGAAACTGCCATCAATATTACCACGTATCCAGACCAGGAGAACAACAAGTTGCTTAGGTGAGAGGAACAAGGGGTCAGAGAATGATCCACAAGGAAAGACTGCCTAGGAGAGGGGACTTAAACCCTTTCCCACCTGCAAAAGAGCCACCAGTGAGAGAATGTCATGTAAAAAGCAAAATGAGAATTCTGTCCTGTTCTATTCTATGAAAGTATGAATTAATATATTGAGTACCACTGATATCTAATCAAATAGTTATTGTTTTTGGTCAGAACTTGCAAGGAATAGAAGAATATAATTTTAAAATAAATTGCCAAGGGCACATCAGGGCAAGTTGTTTCTGAATGTTGTGGGTGATGTTTTACTGATTAATTTTCTGAAGGAATTACATTAATCTATTACTTAACTGTAGGTCCAAAGTAGCTTTGTTCTGATTTTTAGGTAATTAGTGCTATTTCATGTCGATTGCCCTGACTGTTACAGATATATGCCCATCTACTTTTATGGTATTATTCCAGAATAAATATTAATAAAAACTAATTGCTAAGAAACTTTTGATGTGGTTTCAGCATCAGTAAGAATTAAAAATAGGAAAAGCATCTCTTTTTTTCAAAAGAAGTACATTGCACAGTTTCTAGAAGGATTCTTCTTTAATAATAGTCTATGACCTTAAAGTATAGGTTCTGTAAATCCTTCACATTTTGATAATCTGAAATTACATAATGTTTTACAATTTCAACGTTTGAGCCTCATGATATCTCAGTGAAGGAGGGCTTCTTGACCTCCTTTTACGGATGGGAAGACAGGCTCAGAAAAGTTGAATAACTAGCCCAAGTTCATTTATTGAGCCAGGCCTCAAATCCAGCCCAAGGAAGAATTAATGGAGCTGAGTTCTAGAAGCTTTTCTGAAAATCTCTTTCTAGAATGATGGTAATGGTGATTCTTGCTTGAACTTCATATTCTTTCACATCCTATATTCTTTTCATATCATCTGTCATATCTCTTCTGTTTTGATTTTCCTAGTTTGGTTGACTTGACATGTGTATACCATGGGGAAAGGCAATTGCTAGTGGAAGGTGTGCAGGCAGTGAAAACATTTGTCAATCAAAGTAGACAAAACCGTTCACGAAACTTTAGTCATCTTAAGGGGAACATTTGAACAGCCGGAGTGATCTGACATTCAGTATAACAAACTAAAGGTTAGATGCCTGCACTGGTGAGGATGGATAATAGTTGTGTTGGGTCAGTGTACAGAGAGGCTGTTACAGTTAGCATTCATCTTCTTGGCCTCCTATGGAAGCCCTGGGTGTATGTGGTCTTGATGCTTACTTCCCTTCTTCTGAGTGAAGCTAAGGTCTTGCTAACACATTTATCCTGTGTTTTGTTTCAGGGGACTCTGTGTTGATGCTCTCATTGAACTGTCTGATGAAAATGCTGATTGGAAACTCAGCTTCCAAGAGTTTCTCAAGTGCCTCAACCCATCTTTCAACCCTCCTGAGAAGAGTATGCCTAACCTAAGAAATAGAGAGCTGTAGGGAATGGAGGCATTTTGTAGGAGCCAAGATAGAGAGGATTGGTGGAACTCTCCAGAGCTAGCTGAGAAATGCCCTCCCATGATTCTAAACTGGGCCCCAGCCCATTATTCCCATGGTGAAGTTAGGACCCCACATTCTTTAGGTTGATTGTGGCATTTGCTCAGATATAGTGCTTCTGAGTGACAGGCAGGTCTTGTCTGGGAAAAAAGGGTAAGGTGCACAGACTGTAGCAAAGATGCCCTGTTCCACCCTCACAACTAAACTGTTGCCCCACATTTCTGGCCCAACAGAGTGTGCCCTGGAGGATGAAACGTATGCAGATGGAGCTGAGACTGAGGTGGACTGTAACCGCTGTGTCTGTGCCTGTGGAAACTGGGTCTGTACAGCCATGACCTGTGACGGTGAGCTGTGCTTCAGAAAGAAAGAAAAAACAGCAAGGAGAGAGCTTCATGAAATCAGCATGAGAGAAGTTGGGGTGGGGATGATGGAGAAGAGGGTGGTGGCTGGGAGCAAGGAACCCAGGGAGCAACTGGCAGACCCACACCTGTAAGGTTGGAGCCCCAAGTGGGGAGCTTTGAGGGCAAAGCACTTATCCTATAGGCATTCAGTTTGAAAGTCACTCCAGAGGCTTGGAATAAGAGAGGACCAAGACCCAGGGCAAAAGTAAATGATAATGGAATAGTAACATTATGGAAATAGTAATAATGGAATAATAATTTAAAATAATAATTAATAATTAAAATGTTAAAATAAAAATAATTATTTAATAATAATTAAAAATAATAATGGAATAGTAACAGTGAAAGCAAATACTTACTCAGCAAGAACCATTTGCCAGGCTCTCTTCTAAGCATTTTACATATTAACCCATTGATCCTTATAACACCTTAGGAAATAGCAAAAGACTCTGGTGGTTGAAAGACAAAATGACTTCTCCTTGCCATACCCAGCAGAAAAAGAAAAAATGTTTGTAGACCCTCTTTCAACTAACAGAGATGGGTAATCTTTTTTAAAAAGAGAAAGTTGAGCTAGTTGAGATGTGTGCAGGGTGGTCTGGGGAGACAGAGAAATCTGAGAGTTTGGGGGGCAGTGTGAGGCTACAGGTTATGTTGGAACCACTGGAGTCCCATCTGGGTCCTGGGCTACAATGATGCCAAAGATCAAGAGGGACTCTTAAAGCCGAGCCCTAGCAAAGAACCAGGGACATTCAGAGTGGAGGCAAGACAGAGAAGGGTGTCGAAGCTAGGTCTGCGACAGAGAGTTGCCTTAAGGTCAGTTGGAACCAGGCCCAAAAGTTTCACCAGCTAGGGTAAACCTAAAGTTATATCAGCCAGGGGCAGTGGCTTATGCCTATAATCCCAACACTTTGGGAGGCCAAGGTGGGAAGCCCAGGAGTTCAAGACCAGCCTTGCCAACATAGCGAGACCATATCTCTACAAAAATGTGAAAATTAGCTAGGTGTGATGGCACATGCCTGTAGTCCAGCTACTTGGGAGGCTGAAGTGCAAGAATTGCCTGAGCCTGGGAGGTTGAGGCTGCCATGAGCCATAGTCACACCACTGCATTCTAGCCTGGACAACGGAGCAAGACTGTCTTAAAAAAAAAAAAAAAAAAAGTTGAAGAAGTTAACTGTGTCGGCCGGGCGTGGTGGCTCACGTCTATAATCCCAGCACTTTGGGAGGCCAAGATGGGCAGATCACAAGGTCAGGAGATCGAGACCATCCTGGCTAACGCAGTGAAACCCCGTCTCTACTAAAAATACAAAACATTAGTCAGGCGTAGTGGTGGACGCCTGTAGTCCCCAGCTACTCGGGAGGCTGGGGCAGGAGAATGGCGTGAACCCAGGAGGCAGAGCTTGCAGTGAGCCGAGATTGTGCCACTGCACTCCAGCCTGGGCAACAGAGCGAGACTCCGTCTCAAAAAAAAAAAAAAAAAAGTTAACTGTGTTAAGAACCGGCTGGAACCTAGGATCATGTTCAGGAAGATCAGGTTAAATGGTAACTAGGAGGCTCTTCTAGACAAGGATCCTAGAGAACACCAACAGTATAAATGGTCCAGTACTGTCTAAGGTATCACTGGCCTACCACTGCCCAGGACCAAGTCTGTTTTTGGTGTGGAAAGACAGGAAAGCAATGTAACTCCAGGGACAGGTGAAAGAACAGGAAGAGGCTATTTAGAGACTAGAAATTCCTACAAGTTCCTGGAAGTCAAGACCAAGCCAGCATCTCCAGAAGAAACACAGAGTTGCTACTGAAACCAACAAAAAACATCTCAAAATAGTCAGTGGCCTAGCCTGCCTCAACCATGAAGCATCCTATACTTGTCTTCCCTAAACTCCATTCAGTACCTCTCCGCTTCTAACTGCTGCTGTTCTGGCTTTGTAAAGGTAGCCCTCCATTTCTAAGGTGCAGGCAGTTGGTATGCAGTTGGCTTACAGAATAAGCGTGGTCATTTGGATAATAATCTCTATCACATGCATCAGACAAAATTCAAATGATCAGCCCCATGGGACACTGCCCATTTCCACAGCCACTCAGCTGTGGGCTGCTCATCCTCCCTGGATGACCAAGTCCAGAACTCTGTGTGGGTATAACATGGAGCAATCCATGTTAGATGGTGGTGCCCCAGGGGTCTGAGCACGTATGGATGTGTAGGCCATGGATCTGAGAGGAGTTTGTGGAGCCAGCATTCTGGGGCATTTTCAGGTTAGTACCTGAGAGCAGTCTGATCTTAGATCACAAATCAAAATGGGACGGGCAAAAAGGGGCATCAAGATGTGAAGCCAGGTGGAGGCAAAGCCAAGGGAAACTGCTGTGAGGGGAAGGTTGATAGCAATGTTTGGAAGATACGTCCTAGCAGTGTTTCCTAATGGTCAACATTCTTCTTGATAAGCATAGAGATTTCATCCTAAACATAGTGAATCAGCATTTGCAAAAGAGCAGCTTGGGAACCTGTGTAGTTTTTGTTTTGTTTATCACTGCAAGTTTGAGAAACATTGCTGATGAAATGGTTGTCAACCCTGGCTGCACATTAGAACCAACCAGAACGACTTGTAAAAAAAGTACTGGTGTCCAGGTCCCACCTCACATCAATTACATCGGAACCTCTGAAGGTGGAACTAGACAGCTATCTTTTCAAATGTTCTCCAGGACATTTTGATGGTGTGTGAATGGCTGAGAGTCATTGTCTCAGAGGAATCTCCTGTGTCAGGATCCAGGTTTTCACCATAACTTTTTTTGCAGGGCCAGCTTCTGGCAGGGATGTGCTAAGCAGTTAAAGGAACAAAAGCCAGAGAGGAGTTGGGATAGATTGCTTTGTTACAGTGTGTTACCTTGGAGGTATCAGTTACACAGGGCCCCTTCATGCCTTCATACTTAGAAAATGTGGGTAATTCACCTCTCCTTCCGCAAGTTAAATGGGAGATGAATTGAGAGCCTCTAGGTAGATCTTGGCGAATTCCTCACTGGCTTACCACAGCTGCCACTGCTCTGAGCTTTGGTTCTTCTTGCAGGAAAGAATCAGAAGGGGGCCCAGACTCAGACAGAGGAGGAGATGACCAGATACGTCCAGGAGCTCCAGAAGCATCAGGTGAATGGTAGCCTCCATGCTGGTTCAGGTGTTGCTGTTGCCATCAGGCCCTATACCACTCAAACACTGCCCAGTGCCCCAGGAGACCAAGGAGGCATGCTCTGTTCAATACAGTAGATCTTGAGTGATACCCCATCCCCTGTACTATCAAACTGTGATACAGACAGTTTCCTGATGAAGTCCTCACAGGGCCCAGTAGGTCTCAACAGGTATAGGTTACAGCTCAGTGAGTGGCTACATAAGGCAAAATCAGGCAGGTGGTCATTTGCAAATGAGGTGGAAGTGGTTTGCAAATGAGCATGGTTTAAGGAAGTGTGTATCCTGTCATGACCAGTGTCCAGACCCAAAGACTGTGAGCTCCTGAAAGCAGGCTCTGTAACTTGTTCATCATTGTACCCTCGCAGTCTCACAGGGCCTGGTATATAGTCAGCACTCAGTGAGTATGAAAGTAGTGGATTGGGGCCACAGCAGAAAGGATTTAAGTTCAACATCAGTCTAGCTAGAAAATAGCCTGGGGTTAACAAAGAGTCTCCTTCCCAGATACTCAAGAAGATAATAAGAACATTGTTCAGGTTCTATGTCATTAAGTTAAAGGCTTCCTTGGGGAAAGAGTTCTTAGCAGAATAGTGATCCTCTGACATACTGTGGAACTGCTGAACTCCTGGCCCATCCTCCTACTGGCTTATTATGTAGTCTTAATATAGGATATTGCACCTTCCATTACCTGTCTGTAGACCAAATGTAGTAGTATTAGCCTTCTCTCTGACATAGAAGTTTTTAAGGAATGTAATGGTCATAAGAACTGCTAAACTATTGATAAGAAATATTTGACATGAGCAAACAGAACTATTACTATTAATAGTAATTGCTCATATCTATTAATCATTCTCGATGTGCATTTTGTCATCATTGTTACTGATAGTATAGAAATCTCATGTCAGTTGTTTAAGCAGAAACAAAAGCTTCTAGACTTTTGCTTTTTCAGATTTCACCAGTCTTGAGTCTCCAAATGAGTTCAATCCCATGAAGGAGAAAAAAAACTTCATAGGAATTACTTTCGTCTAGGATACAGTAGTTATCAGACAGTACAGAGTGAATTATAATAGCTAATATGTTTAAGTTTCTGTGTTTGATGTGAGTCCCCTCAGATCTGATACTGAGGCAAGGATGCAAGTACACATAGTTTATTTGGGAAGCAATGCCAGGAAACACCAGGGGGAGATTTGGGAAATGAGTCCAGGAAGGGAAGGAAGTAATAAAGAGTGTGTATTCAGGCATGTTACCACTGTTAACAAGTGGCTCTTAATGCTCTTGGGGATCTCTGGGAATGGAGTAACAGTGCCTGAGTCGGGATGAAGCTGGGCTGTTTCTACAAGAACTCCCATCAGCCACTGGCTGAGGGCTTCTACTGGGAAACAATAATTCCCTGGCATTTGTGGCCTACCAGTGTGTGTGGACAGAGTAGGCTACAGCAGCCAGAGAAAGGCATCAGGCAGAGATGCAGGTGCTAGCATAGGTAGGAAGTCGTGCCAGTGTACACCGAAACATTAAACACAAAGGGGCTATGGATGGAACCCCAGCAGTGTCTGCTAGATATCAGCCACTGTTGTCAGGTTTTTTTAAATTTATTTCTTTAATTGAAATATGATTCACATAGCATAAAATTCACCCCTTTAAAGTGTATATTCCTAAGATTGTCAGTCATCTCACTACTATCTTAATTCCAGAACATTTTCATTATCCCAGAAAGAAATCCCATACCCATTAGAAGTAACCCTCCATTCTCATCTTCCTCCAGCCCTTTGCAACCACTAATCTACTTTCTAACTATAGATTTTCCTGTTGTGGACATATTACAGTAGTATCATACAACAGTATAGCCTTTTCGGTCTTTGACTTAGCATAATGTTTTCAAGGTTCATTCTTACAGTATGAATCAGTACTTTTTTCCTATTTATGGCTGAGTAACATTCCATTATATGGATATACCACATGTTGTGTTACCCATTCATCATTTAATGAATATTTAGGTTGTTTCAATTTGGGGGCCCTGATAAATAAAGCTGTTAGGAACATTTTCGTACAAGTTTTTGTGTGGATACATGTTGTCAGCTCTCTTGGGTATTTACCTAGGAGTGGAATTGCTGGGTCATACGGTGACTCCATGTTTAACCTTTGGAGAAATGGCCAAACTGGTTTCCAAAGCTACTGTACCATTGTACATCTTCACCATAGAGTTCCAATTTCTTCACATACTCGCCAATGGTTTTGTTACTGTTATTTTTTATTTTAGCTGTCCTAGCAGGTGTGAAGTGGTTTTGATTTGCATTTCCCGCGTGATTAATGATGTTGTTGAGCATCTTCGTATGTCCTTATTGGCCATTTTGTGCCAGGCACTGTTGTAAGAGATGGTACTTTATTACTGTGGTTTTGCAGTTGAAGACATTGAGACACAGAAGATTTCACAATATGCCCAAGGTCACCCAAAAAGTAGCACAGCCCGTTGAAGCTCAGGCAGTCTGCCTCCAGAACCTGTTGTAATTAATTAACACTTCTTTGGACTTGTTGGATTCAGAACATCTTGTAGCATTTCCATTTAACATCATTTTTTTCATTCTTAAAATGGGAACCATAATGTCTGATCTGCTTGTTTCATAGGAGTCCAAATGGTGTCAGCTTAATTCAGTAGACAGCCCCTGCATGACCATATCATGAATAGGCCATAGTTCTTGTTCTCAAGTTGTTCATTGTCCACAGAGGAGCCAGACAAGTAAACAACTAAAATTCAGCATAAGCTTGTAAATGCCAATGCTATATAGTCTTGAAGAATAAATGCCAACAGTTGTTTAATATTTCCATGACGCCTATTTTCTCTTACATCTCAAAGGAAACAGCTGAAAAGACCAAGAGAGTGAGCACCAAAGAGATCTAATGAGGCGGCACAGGATAGTGTCTGGAGCCCAGCATCTTCTCTTCCACTTCAGCGCTGAGTCCAGTATACACGAGTGTCTGCTACAGTCGCCAAATCACCAGTATTTGCTTATATAGCAATGAATTTCATTTTGTTTATTTGTTTTGCAATAAAGGAGATGAAAGTGGCTGGCTAGGAGGGGAAGGGCCACAGCCTTCATTTCTAGGAGTGCTTTAAGAGACACTGCAAACGGTGCTCTGGGGCCGTTTAGTAAGGAAACTGCATCACGATTGAAAGAGGAACAAACCCAAATCTGAACCTCTTTTGAGTTTACTGCATCTGTCAGCAGGTTACAGGGAGTGCACACAATGCCAGAGAGAACTTAGCAGGGTGTCCCTGGAGGAGAGGTTTGGGAAGTTCCACAGAGAGGAACGCTCTCTGCTTCCAGCCTCTTTCCATTGCCGTCAGCATGACAGACCTCCAGCATCCACGCATCTCTTGGTCCCAATTACTGCCTCTAGATACATAGCCATCCTGCTAGTTAACCCAGTGTCCCTCAGACTTAGATGGAGTTTCTGGGAGAGTACACCGAAATGATGCAGATACTTGTATACTTTGAGGCCCTTGGCAACCTAACCAAATTTTAAAAATACTTTTGACCAAAGGTGCTATTTCTCTGTAAAACACTTTTTTTTTTTTTGGCAAGTTGACTTTATTCTTCAATTATTATCATTATATTATTGTTTTTTAATATTTTATTTTCTTGACTAGGTATTAAGCTTTTTTTATTATTTTTCAATAGTCCCACCACTTCATAGGTGGAAGGAGTCTGGGGTTCTTCCTGGTGCAGGGGCTCAAATAACCCAGATGCCCCCACCCTGCCACATACTAGATGCAGCCCATAGTTGGCCCCCCAGCTTCCAGCAGTCCACTATCTGCCAGAGGAGCAAGGGGTGCCTTAGACCGAAGCCAGGGGAGGAAGCATCTTCATAAAAAACTTTCGAGATCCAAACATTAATTTGTTTTTATTTATTCTGAGAAGTTCAGGCAAATCAGTATTCCCAAGGATGGAGATAAGTACAGCCAAGCGGGCTTAGGATATCCCAGCCTACCAATATGCTCATTGGCCTACAACTAACTAGGAGAGTGAGTTGGCCCTGTCTCTCTTCTTTTTTCTGGACCTCAGTTTCCTCAGTAGCTGGTAAGAATGCACTAGCCTTTTGATGTGATAAGTTATAAATTCTGTGGTTCTGATCATTGGTCCAGAGGGGAAATAGGTTCCTGTGATTTTTCCTTCTTCTCTGTAGAATAAATGAAATCTCGTTGTTAGAACAAGAAATGTCAGATGGCCAAAAACAAGATGACCAAATTTGATCTCAGCCTGATGACGCTACAAGTTGTGCTGTGATACAGAGTCCTCATGGGTAAAGCAGAAAGAGAGTGGGAAAGAGAACCACCCCACTCTGTCTTCATATTTGCATTTCATGTTTAACCTCCGGCTGGAAATAGAAAGCATTCCCTTAGCGATGAGGATAAAAGAAAGTTTGTAATTCAACAGGGGGAAGAAAATGGAGATTTAATCCTAAAACTATGACTTGGGGAGGTCAGTCATTTACAGTTAGTCTTGTGTCTTTCGACTTCTGTGATAGTTAACCCCACTCACTACCCTGTTTAAGATGCATTTGGAATACCAAAGATTAAAGCCTTGACATAAGATATCATTTGTAGAAAGTAGATTAAAGACCATCAGAAGGAAATTATTTAGGTTGTAATGCACAAGCAACTGTGAGAAACTGTTGTGCCAAAAATATAATTCCTTCTAGTTTTCCTTGTTCTTATTTGAAAGGAGAAAATCCACTTTGTTCAGCATTTTAAGCTTTTGTGTATCAATCCCATCTAAAAACTCTCTTCAAACTCCACTTGTTCAGTCTGAAATGCAGCTCCCTGTCCAAGTGCCTTGGAGAACTCACAGCAGCATGCCTTAATCAAAAGTTTTGCCAGCCCTTGGACACTATGGGAGGAGGGCAAGAGTATCAGTTTGTTAAAAGCAAAAAAGCCACAGTGTCTCTTCACTAGTCATATTTAGAACAGTGGTTACCATCCAAGACTACTCTGTCCTGCAACATTGAACTCTCAAGAGCAAATCCACATTCCTCTGCTTCTGTGTAAATAGGGCAGCTGTTGTCTATGCCATAGAATCACATGATCTGAGGACCATTCATGGAAAGCTGCTAAATAGCCTAGTCTGGGAAGTCTTGCATAAAGTTTTGCATGAAGCAAACAGGATTAAATCAGGTTTGGTTCCTTCAGCCCTCTAAAGGCATAGGGCTTAGCCTGCAGGCTTCCTTGGGCTTTCTCTGTGTGTGTAGTTTTGTAAACACTATAGCATCTGTTAAGATCCAGTGTCCATGGAAACCTTCCCACATGCCGTGACTCTGGACTCTCAGTTTTTGAAAGCAGGGTTCCTCTGCCTGCTAACAAGCCCACGTGGACCAGTCTGAATGTCTTTCCTTTACACCTATGTTTTTAAATAGTCAAACTTCAAGAAACAATCTAAACAAGTTTCTGTTGCATATGTGTTTGTGAACTTGTATTTGTATTTAGTAGGCTTCCATATTGCATTTAACTTGTTTTTGTAACTCCTGATTCTTTCTTTTTGGATACTATTGATGAATAAAGAAATTAAAGTGATAGTTTTATTGGTTTCCTTTCCCCCAATTAAGGCCAAATAAAGTTGTGAGAACATTACCCATTTACTTCCTAAGTGGATTGGAGTTTCAGGAGCCTTACAAAGGACTGAAGAGTTTCTCCTGGGACTGCAGCTTGGATGGGAAGTTTACTCAGGGACTGGCAGAACAAGTTTCTTTGAAAGGATCATGGATGATGGGTCTGGAGTAGAAGGTGATGACAAGTCAGAGAGTGTCTTAGTCCCTTCAGGTTGCTATAACAAAATGCCTCAGACTGGGTAATTATAGACAACAGAAATGTATTGCTCACAGTTCTGAAGGCTGGGAAGCCTAAGATTAAGGTACCAACAGATTTAATGTCTGATGAGGGCTTGTTGAAGCTTGTCTGCTTCAAAGAATGCACCTTCTTGATGCATCCCCACATGGTGGAAAGGGTGAACAAACTCCCTTAGGCCTCTTTTATAAGGGCACGAGGGTTAAACTTTTGATGACCTAATCATCTCCCAAGAGCCTCACCTCTCAGTACCATTGCTTTGGGGGATTCAATTTTATCATGAATTTTGGGGGGACATAAACATTCAAACCATAGCAGGGTGCATTCCTGTATTGGGAAGATGTTAAATTAAATGACTTCTAAATCCCCCATACGATTTAGGAGACTAAATGGCATCCTGTGAGGCTGACTGCAGTGGCCTGTGAGAAGGCAAATAAACATGGGAAGGTAGTACAGGGAACATGGAATCGTTGCCAGGGACAGGCTAAATAACCTTAATGGCACTTCCTTGATACACACATTCCATGGGGATAAACATTTCCAAGTGGGCTGAATGTTGGCTGGTTAAAACCTCTTCTGCTCCATCTTGGGGACACATGACTAATGTTTTCCAACCTGCCATTTTCATATGTATCGTGCACTCTCCACCCCCAATAATTCTGCCTCCCAAAAGAGCATATAGTCGATGAGGTTTAAGGTTTCTTCAGTTCAGTCATGTGGAAGTGTTGCTATCCTAAAATTATAGCTGGATCACTTTGATTGGATTTGGGATATAACCCAAATACTAATCAAATATTAAAAGGCAATCTTTTTTGTTACGTGATTGCTACAGATTACTGATCTCATTTGTCACAGTTTGATTCTTCAAATTTTCATTCTCAGAAGGGAATCTTAAACCCAGTTTGAAGGGTACCTTGTCCACAACCACTTTTAAATTTTGGCTAACTACTCCCAACCTTCTACTGTGTTCTGGGAAAACTTTTTCTGCTGTTATGTATGTATTCAGGAAGTGCAACATTATTAAAATAACCTAAACTAAGCATAATTCAGAAGTTAAGTTTCCTTTCATCAAAATTTAATATTATGAATTGTGCAGAGAAGTATGTTACTTTGATCCACTTTATTTTAGAACTTCTTTATCAAGTTATCAGTCCTCTTGAACTATTTCTGAAATAAGGGGAAGGAAGGAAGGGAAAAAATATGAATGTGTAGATAGATCTAAGCAGATGCCCTCAGAGCCCTGGAATAATCCTAGCCGGGATGTGGGACATGAAAACAACTCTGGCCTACTGCTGCTGGGGGCTGCTTCATGGTGTGACATAGGAAGTAAAATGTTGCTGTATGAATAGGAAGGAGGGTCTTCCTGTCAATGAGAATTAATGTTTTTCTAATGATTTAACTTTTTTACTGAAGAAATAATATGTATACGTGGTAAAAATCCAAATTGTATCAAGGAAAATACAGTGAATAAAACCATCCTCTTAGAGGGTATGTCCATTTATAAATTTGCCTATGATTGCCTATACAGTCAAAGAGGTTGCACCAGTATGCATGCCTGCCGAAAGTACATAAACTGAGCATATCTATTTCCCTACATTTTTGCAAACATTACACCTTCAAGTTTTTTGGCCTCTGATAGAGGAAAAATGGTAACTCCTTGTTTTATTTTTTATATTCATTATTCCTTTTGTAAGATTAAATCTCTTCCCATGAAAAATTGGTTCTTGTCCTTTTCTTTCATTTCCTTCGCTTGTTTTTCTAATGGTTGCTGGTCTTTTTCTTATTGGTTTGTCATAGTTCTCCATAAGTATATCGTTAGCCGTTTGTCGTGAATGTGACAAATACATTCTCTCAGTTTGTTTTTCTTCTTTTGACTTTATGAGATGCTTTGCCTTGTAGAAAACTTCACTCTTTATATAACCCAATTTATACATCTTTTCCTTTCTGTCTTTAAGACAAAAGAACTTTAAAATCTGTGTCATTGCTGAAGCTTAAGGACAGAAAATGGCCAGCGTAAAACTCTGATGCCCTCAAAAAGAATGCAGAAATATCCACTTGGGAAGGACAGAACATTGCCAGTCTTGGAATATATAAGCTAAATCTAAGGTTGTAATTAAGGGAGTAAGAACAATATAGAAGGGGATCCAAACTGGGCCTCAACTGTCCTTTGATGCATTCTGTTCTATGATTGGTTAAGGGTGATTTTCAACTCTTTTGTAAGGAAAAAGTAGAGATGGAGATCAATATCATTTATTGTTCATTTACCAAATATTTGTTGTGTCTATACTATGTTCCAGGCATTTTCTAAGTGTTCTAAGTGTTCGGACTTACCTGTGACCAGTGAAAAGAGATAATGATCTCTGACTTTGTGGAGCTTAAATTCTAGCAGGGAGAGCTAGATAATAGATGTAATAAATAAGTAAAGCTTATGATATGTTAGAAGGTGATAAGGACCATGTATAGCAAGAGGAGGGGGGCTAGAAGAGTGAAGGGTAAGGGAGTGTCTCAGTTTGTCTCAGTTTCCCATTTTAAATATAGTGGTCAGGACAGGCCTCGTTGAGAAAGTGAAAAAGACTAAGCCAAGGGAATTCGATGTGTGATATCTGAACAAGAGCATTCCAGACAAGAGAGAGCCAGTGCAAGAGTGTCAGCTTGGCAGGCTGAAGTGAATGAGGGAGAGAGTAGCAGAATACAAGGGCAAAGAAGTGACAAGGCAGGGTAAGGGACTGAGGGGTGAGAAAGGTATATCTTGTGGTCCTAATAGGCCATGTAAGGAATCTGGCTTTTACTCTGAGTGAGATAGGAACCTTTATAAATTGTTATTTGAAAACAAGTAGGATAAACTACAGGTGATCTTGTTTTTGCATGTGTGCCCAATTATTCTCAAAAACTCATTTGATTGGGAGTTCGAGACCAGCCTGGCCAACATGGCGAAACCCTGTTTCTACTAAAAATACAAAAATTAGCTGGGCGTGGTGGCACACACCCATAATCCCAGCCACTTGTGAGGCTGAGGCAGGAGAATTGCTTGAGCAATCTACAGTGAGCTGAGATCGCACCACTGCACTCCAGCCTGGACAACAGAGCATGACTCTCTCAAAATAAACAAATACCTCATTAGATACCTTTATGAAAACCTGAACTATGCCATCACTTATGCATTGGTGTACATAGCTACCCATCAAGTAGGTCCTTTCAAGATTCTGGTACAGAACGAGCAAAACCAGGAGTTGCTTACTATAATCCATGTTGTGGAAGAGCTTTAACATTTGAAACCCTTCTACTGTGCCTTCTAGAACTTGCTATTAATCACCAACAAATCCCTTCTACTCTTAGCTTCTGTTAACATTTCCCTCACCTTGTTTTCTAACTGAAACTTGGCTCCCCTCTGAGGACACTTCCTCCATAGCCCTTTCAAATGGTGTGGTTTTCTTTACAACATCTTTCATAAACTGGATCCTTTTTGCTCCTTCCTCTACAAACCTTCAGTTTAAAACATCAAGTCATTAGACTTTGCTATCCACTACACTTTCATCACAGTTTTCTGTTGTTCCTCTCCCCACCTCTACCATTCCTTGATTTTAGCTGCTGACTTTGTAAAACTCTGCATCACTGCTTCTGTCATAACTCTTGATGTCACTATCTCATAAATGATCTATCCCATGACCTCCTTTGGACCTTGACCTCCTCTCCCCCAAGGATTTTTTTTTTTTCTCTATTTTATTTTAGCCACTTTCCTCTTGGTTAGAACTTAGATCATATCACTGGCAATAATCTCAATTTCAAGCATCCTACTCTTCAACAACTACCTTCTGTCCTTTCAACTCACTTTCTCTGATACCTCAACTCTAACAATTCTTTGGTTGCCATCAGGTCCTAAAATCCAATGATCCTATCACTTTTTCACTTTGCTTCTCCCATTTTGCATCCTTCATCCTCCCCATCCCAGCTTAGATTCCATGGTTGATCATTATAATCACTTTCTAGCATGCAGGTCTTCCTTTGTCATGCTTGCACAGCAAAACTTCAACATTCAATTAACCCAACTCTCCTCCCATTCTGTGTTTGTACTCAAGCAGCTAAATTAGGCTGCATAAAATACAACCACACAGAGTTTTCTCACTTTATTTTTTAATTTGTTTTATTTTATTTTTTATTTATTTATTTATTTTTTTTTTGAGACAGAGTTTTGCTCTGGTTGCCCAGGCTGGAGTGCAATGGCACAATCTTGGCTCACTGCAACCTCCACCACCCGGGTTCAAGAGATTCTTCTGCCTCAGCCTCCTGAGTAGCTGGGATTACAGGCATGTGCCACCACTCCCAGCTAATTTTGTATTTTTAGTAGAGACAGGGTCTCTCCATGTTGGTCAGGCTGGTCTCGAACTCCCAACCTCAGGTGATCCTCCCGCCTTGGCCTCCCAAAATGTTGGGTTTACAAGTGTGAGCCACCGTGCCTAGGCTTTCTCACTTTAAATTCATGGTCTTGAACCTCAAAAGTGCCTTTAGCACTACCCAGGATGCCTGGTATATTTCTTTAGTTATTATCTCCTACTCTCCTAGATGACTGTTTTCATTCTTTTTCCTTAATACTGCCATATCCAGCCTCACACTCAGCTGATGAATTGCCTCTGGTTTCACTAAGAAAACTAGAAGCAATCAGAATTTCCAGAAGCTTTCCCTACCACAGTATCCACCTTTCTTCATCTATGCCCATATACTTTATATTACCTCCTTGTACATAATCTTACCTAAAGCAAACCTTGTACTTGTGCATTAGACCCTATCCCTCTGCCTCCTGAAAGGCATTGCTCAGCAATTCTCCCCCTTCTTTCGTAGCATCAAACTTACCCTCTCCATCTGTCCCTTATCACACTATTTCTCCCATTTTTTATATTATTATACTTTAAGTTCCAGGGTACATGTGCACAACGTGCAGGTTTGTTACATATGTATACATGTGCCATGTTGGTGTGCTGAACCCGTTAACTCATGATTTACATTAGGTATATCTCCTAATTCTATCCCTCCCCACTCCCCCCACCCCACAACAGGCCCCGGTGTGAGATGTTCCCCATATTGTGTCCAAGTGTTCTCATTGTTCAATTCCCACCTATGAGTGAGAACATGTGGTGCTTGGTTTTCTGTTCTTGTAATAGTTTGCTCAGAATGATGGTTTCCAGCTTCATCCATGTCCCTAAAAAGGACATGAACTCATCCTTTTTTATGGCTGCATAGTATTCCATGGTATATATGTGCCACATTTTCTTAATCCAGTCTACCATTGATGGACATTTGGGTTAGTTCCAAGTCTTTGCTATTGTGAATAGTGCCACAATAAACATACGTGTGCATGTGTCTTTATAGCAGCATGATTTATAATCCTTTGGGTATATACCCAGTAATGGGATGGCTGGGTCAAATGGTATTTCTAGTTCTAGATCCTTGAGGAATCGCCACATTGTCTTCCACAATGGTTGAACTAGTTTACAGTCCCACCAATAGTGTAAAAGTGTTCCTATTTCTCCACATCCTCTCCAGCACCTGTTGTTTCCTGACTTTTTAATGATCACCATTCTAACTGGTGTGAGATGGTATCTCATTGTGGTTTTGATTTGAATTTCTCTGATGGCCAGTGATGATGAGCATTTTTTCATGTGTCTGTTGGCTGCATAAATGTCTTCTTTTGAGAACTGTCCATATCCTTTGCCCAGTTTTTGATGGGGTTGTTTGTTTTTTTCTTGTAAATTTGTATAAGTTCTTTGTAGATTCTGGGTATTAGCCCTTCGTCAGATGGGTAGATTGCAAAAATTTTCTCCCATTCTGTAGGTTGCCTGTTCACTCTGATGGTAGTTTCTTTTGCTGTGCAGAAGCTCTTTAGTTTAATGAGATCCCATTTGTCAATTTTGGCTCTTGTTGCCACTGCTTTTGGTGTTTTAGACTTGAAGTCCTTGCCCATGCCTATGTCCTGAATGGTATTGCCTAGGTTTTCTTCTAGGGTTTTTATGGTTTTAGGTCTAACATTTAAGTCTTTAATCCATCTTGAATTAATTTTTGTATAAGGTGTAAGGAAGGGATCCAGTTTCAGCTTTCTACATACAGCTAGCCAGTTTTCCCAGCACCATTTATTAAATAGAGAATCCTTTCCCCATTTCTTGTTTTTGTCAGTCTGTCAAAGATCAGATGGTTGTAGATGTGTGGTATTATTTCTGAGGGCTCTGTTCTGTTCCATTGGTCTACATCTCTCTTTTGGTACCAGTACCATGCTGTTTTGGTTACTGTAGCCTTGTAGTATAGTTTGAAGTCAGGTAGCATGATGCCTCCAGCTTTGTTCTTTTGGCTTAGGATTGTCTCGGCAATGCGGGCTCTTTTTTGGTTCCATATGAACTTTAAAGTAGTTTTTTCCAATTCTGTGAAGAAAGTCATTGGTAGCTTGATGGGGATGGCATTGAATCTATAAATTACCTTGGGCAGTATGGCCATTTTCACTATAGTGATTCTTCCTATCCATGAGCATGGAATGTTCTTCCAGTTATTTGTGTCCTTTTATTTCGTTGAGCAGTGGTTTGTAGTTCTCCTTCAAGAGGTCCTTCACATCCCTTGTAAGTTGGATTCCTAGATATTTTATTCTCTTTGAAGCAATTGTGAATGGGAGTTCACTCATGATTTGGCTCTCTGTTTGTCTGTTATTGGTGTATAAGAATGCTTGTGATTTTTGCACA